GCTCATTATCACACAATAAAAACAAGACTTTAAAAGCGTGTCCATTTTGAACCAAAGCTAGAGAACACTGATACCAGAGGAACTAAACTTGAGGTAACTCACAACATTAAGTTACTAAGTTCTTGTTGTTTTTTAACTAATTCTTTGGATAAACAAGACACTGGTAAACAAAATAGCATGTTTTAAACTAATTCATAAATATGTCTTAAATGCAGGTCTTCATAAATATGAAGCAACTGATAACATTAATGGTTGACTGAGATGCTACAGAGAAAAGTGCTCACTCCGTGCCTTTGAGTTGGGTCTGAACTATAACTGACTCAAACTTGACCTTTTGAGGCTGTAAATTGGGATAATGGATCTAAACCATCTATGACGTACTCAAACCCACTGTTACAGTCACTGTGTCAATTCATCTTTCTCCCTTTGAGCCTCTGGTGGATCTGAAGGGCTAGAGAGCCCCAGAACTCCCTAAGAGATGTTTTGTGCAGGTTTTCAGAGGCAATAAATCCCCTGGGAGGAGAATGCCCATCTTTCTCGCTCAGAGTGGCTAGTGGATTCAAAGTGCATGCCTTCTGGGTTGGCAGCACAACTCCTTACCACTAAGCCACCAGAGCGCCGTAAGAGATATTTAGGAAGTCAATATCCAATTAGAACAAAGGAGGAGGGGAAAATAAAGCTGACTTTCTAGACTAGAGCTCTGGTTTACTTTTCTTTACTATCTTCATGTTGCAAGGAGGGACCAGTCCTTGGAGAGGGACATCATGTTTGGGAGGGTGGAGGGACAGACAGCACAAGAGAGGAAGACCCTTGATGTGATGGTTCGATTCAGTGATTGAGGCAGTGGGAGTAGGTGTGTCAGAGACAATGAGGTTGGCACAGGATAGAGCATGGTTTAGGGTTCTTATACTTAGGGTAGCTATGAATCACAAATGACTCGATGGCACATAGCAACAACAATGAAGAACTGTAACAAGATTTTAATATTGCTGTCTCAAACCTTTCTTGCTAAGTTGCTGGCTGTTATTGTATCTCCTTAAACATCATTTGAATCCACCTGCTGCTCCAAGGTAGAAGGATGGACAATCTCCTCTTGTGCAATTACTGCCTCTGAAAACCCACTGGAGGGTCAGCTCTAGGTCATTTCGGACTTGATGGCACACAGTAACAACAATGACTAGGACATGATTCTCAGTACTGTGTGATCCTCCACTGTGTGATCTCATACAGTTCTCTGGATTGTTGTAAATATTAATTTCTATTATATTGGTGAGGCAGTAATAAAGGCAGTTAATGAGGCCAAATAAAACCTACATGATTATGTTTAAACTTGAGTCAATCTCCTTTGAGATATAAAAGAGATTAAGTGAGCAGAGAGCCAGAGGAAGCTAACTACCATTAAGAAAGAAAAGCCAGGAGCAGAGCACATCCTTTGAACTAAAGGTTCCTGAATTTTGGAACTTTTGAGACCCTGGAGACGATAAATGCCAGGCCACATGGAGATCTCCAAGGAACATGCTGAAAGGAGACAAGGAAGCTTTCCTCAGAGTCAACAAAAGATGACAGCCTTCTCCTAAAACAGGTGCCCTGAATGAAAATGTCTAGCCTCTTAAACAATTGGGAGAACAGTGCAGGATTGGGCAGTGTTTCTTTAAACACTGGACCATTGTTGTTGTTGTTGCTGTTGTTATGTGCCGTCAAGTCGCTTGCAACTCATAGCGACTCTATGTACAACAGCCCTAAACTCTGCTCTGTCCTATGCCAATTGCACTGTCTCTGACACTCCCATCCCAATTATCCCAGTCACTGAATCAATCCACCTCATAGAGGGCCTTCCCCTCCTGAGCCGTCCCTCCACCCTCCCAAGCATGATGTCCCTATCCAAGGACCAGGCTCTCCTCACAACATGTCCAAAGTAAGTTAGACGGAGCCTCAGAATCCTTGCCTCCAAGGAGCCACCCGGTTTAACACTTTCCAGGATGAATCTGTTTGTTTTCCTAGCAGTCCATGGTACTAGAATAGGGCCATTACCATTACCAGTTGTAAATGACTCACTGGCTCCTGACAAAAAGCTGTGAAAGAAAAAAAATCATGTTTGTTAAATCTAGCCCTGTGGGGCGTTTTTGTTGTAGCAGTACTAGATAATGAAGGTACTGGGGAACAAAGTAGAAAAAAATAAAACAAAACCCACCCCTTCAGAAAAAGATTGAAAATAGCCTTTCTAAGAAGACAGTGCGAAGAAGGAAGCCCCTGACCCTCCCAAACTGAAGCCAAAGCAAAGGCATTAAAGGCCAAGAGGTTAGTCCTGAAGGGCAGCCACAGTCAGTCAAACACACACAAACACACACACACACACACACACACACACACACACACACACACACACACACATCTGCACGTTTCAGCGGCCTAAGATGCTGAGACTCCTGGAAAAGCGTCCCCAGGAGAAACAAACTTGACCACTATGCCATCATCAAGTTTCCCCTGACCACTGAGTCAGCCATGAAGAAGATAGAAGATAACAACATAGTTGTGTTTACTGTGGATGTTAAGGACAAGCACCAAATAAATAAGCTGTAAAGAAGCTCTATGACATTGGTGTGGCTTAGACACTCTGATTAGGCCTGATGGAGAGAAGAAGGCTTATGTTCTACTTGCTCCTGATTATGATGCTTTGGATGTTGCTAACAACAAAATTGTGATCATCTAAACTAAGTCCAGCTGGCTAATTCTAAATACAAATTTTTCTCACACACACAAAAAGATTGATAAGAATACTATCTTGGGGAGCTCTGGTGGCCTAATGGCAAGGAGCTACAATTACAATCCCAGAGGCTCACAGTTCAAATCCACCAGATAATCTGCCGGGGAAGGAGGGACAATCTCCTCCTGTACCAGTCAGATCTGATTTGACAGTACACTCACACAAAAATAATAAAAATAAAAATTAAAAAAAAAAAAGAATACTATCTAATGAAATTAATTGTTCCATGTTTCATATTAGGCACACATCATTGGTAGCAACTGTTGTCTACAGTACAAAACAGGCCTAGTTTCATGTCCCATGAATTAAACAGTCAAAATTAGCATTTTTGTATTTTTTTTAAAAGCTTGCTAATTCAAAGATAAACCTAAGAGAAACAAGTTTGACTATGTTTTCTCAATGTTCCATTCTCTCAAAAGTCTTCTTGGGGATAAAATTTCATTTTTAATTCTAGGCTCCTTTATCCTAGCACTGTTTCAACGGACACTAAAGTACAGTAACTATCCTATCAAAGAAGTCACTTACACTCCAGGGAGTTTTAAAGTTGTGCCAGGATCAAATTCCAGGATTGGTGACAAGTGCAGTCAGACAGTGACAGAAAAGATCCAGCTCTTGACTCCCAATCTCAGTCCCCCGGTGCCCTGTTCCCCTTCTTCCTTTGCATTCACTATTCATTCAAGATTATGTACTGAGTATCTCACTTGTGTCGACACTGTTTTAGGTGCTTGTGATTCATCCGCCGATGAAACAAACATCCATGTCCTTGGGGAGTTAATTCATATTCTGATATATCCATTCAGTAGAACCCTAATAATAAATGTATTACATATTTATAGATGGTCTTTTGCTATATTATAAGTTTGTGGGATAGGTTTGTTTGGGGTTGGTTTTTTTTTTTAAGTACTTATTTCCTAACACACTCTTCTGTGTAAGAAACTAATCTCTTCTATCAACGTCACACCATCCTATCCCTGGGGATTCCACGGCTTAAAAACAGATGCACTGCCACAGAAAGCTCTGGTCCAGTTAGCACCTTTTCAGGCTGGAAATGTCACTGAATCCCGCCTCCTTAACTTGAAAGGATGAGATAAGAGGACTTTCTCTTTAAAGTCATCATGGATGCATTCGTGATGAAACTCACACTTGTGTCATCCTTGTACACAACCCTCAACTGTTAACCCTTATCCTCAATCCCTCTAGCTCCAGAGGGGAAAAAAAAATACTGAAACTGGCTTCTCCAGTTACAATCCTCGATATCACCTTTCTAAAGATTACTGTCAGTATTCCACAGGCGATACCAACACCCTTCCCCTTGCAAGTCCTCAATAGTAATTTTTTACTCAAATCAAAAGTTGGTCCACATTTCCTAAGAAGCACGTCCCAAAGGCAACAGACTGTCTTTGCTTCCAGGAAAGAGCAATCACTTGTAACTCCTTCCCATGGGCCTACATTCTGTAGCTACTGCGCTGCTAACCCACAGGGGACGTTTTCTCAGCGGTTCGAAACCACCAGAGGCTCTTCGAGAGAAAAAAGAGGCATCTCCTCCCGTGGGATTTACAGCCTCGGGAAACATGCTGGAGGGTCAGCTCCGACTCGACGGCTAACTCTGCAGAAGGGCTGGCACTGACGAATGGCCACATGTGGAGAGGAAGCAGCCTCTGCATCGACATCAGGACTTCACGGAGGCACTGGGCTCTCGGGCTCTTGACTCTGCGAGCGCCCCTCCATTCTGCGCCACACGCACCCACTGGCCTCACCCTAGTCACCGCCCTTCTCTTTCTACCAGCCCTTCCTCTTCCTCTTATTGCCACGACCCTCAAAGCCGTCTCAAACTGAGTCTGCGGTCTCCAGTCCTCGCGGGGACCACGACCCCGAGCTAAGGGCCCCGCAGGCGCTCCCGCCCACCCGCGCTTGCTCCGCTCGGGCGCCCGCCCACCCGGCCCTCCAACGGGATTCCCCGTCCCCGGGCCCGCCCCCGCCGCTCCTCCTCCCGGACACACCGCCCTCCCCGCCGCAGACGCGATCCTCGCCGGGGGCACCCTCAGCCCGTCGACCCCTTGCTCGCAGCCCTCGGAACGGGAGTGGGGCGCTCCGGCGCCCCAGGCTAGGCAGGCATTGTATCTCTCTGCTTCCTCCCAATCCTCGGAGCCCTTCACCTCTCCCTCCCTCAAGCCCCGGGCGGTGAAGCGCAGAGGCCCGGCCCCACCACCAGGTCCAGGCTTGTTTACTCACTCACCCTCCATCCCGAGCCGCAGGGACCCGCTGCGAGCACGCCTGCGCGCCAAGGCCCCGCCCCCCGTGCCGTGGCCCCGCCCCGCGCCTCCTCCGGCGCATGCGCGCTGGACCGCGGCCGGGCCACCTGGTTTTTCCTTCGCACTTTTGGCCCTTTGGCGCCACTGTGCTGGACGTGGTGTGGTGCCCGCCCGACGATTTCCAGGAAGGCGCTGGCAGGGGATGGGGGAGTGGGAAAGAAAAGACTCTGGAGAACCCTCTTTATGCAGAGGTTGCCCCATCCTCACACTCTGGTGACAGCTATGTCTCACCTCAACATTTGAAGCCAACCTTGAGCCCCTTCACACCTATAACCTCTAAGTTACTCTATAAGCTCTAAATAACCTTTCTTGTTTTATTTACATCTGACTTTTCTGTTTCTAACGACAGTTTTCCAAATCAGACTTAAGTTTTACACTTTGCCAGATTTAAAATTTAAGTTTTGTATCAAAATTGTCTCCTGGAAAGATTACGCATTAGAGAGAGGAAGTGAGAAATTAATTTTCCAGGGGAAATACCAGCACACAGTACTTTAATCATATGATCAAAGTTAACGTCACCAATGATGAGACTTACTCTTCTTAGTTACCTTCCACTATGAGGCACTGAGAAGGATCCAAAACCACTTCTGTGATAGTTTTGCCAACAATGTATGATCTGATTTTATCATAAGGAAACACTGACTAAACCCATATGATGAAAGAGCAATCCACAAAACTGTCTTGTTAGAAAGTGACAAGATCATGGAGGGGGCAGACTCACAGTCACTCAATGAACAAAAGACCTGAAGCCTTTCTAAACTTCTAAACTCAACTTCTAAACATCATGCCTCTGGAAACTCTGAACTTTGAGAAACAATGATAGTTATTGAAAGGCTTTGGGTCTTTCGTTTATCTAGTCATTTTCGAACAGAAGAACAAACAGTTTCATCCAGAAGAGGGTGAAACCAGGCTGCTCCTTGGCTGTCCGAAACACTTCAAGGAGGGACCAGTCCCTGGAGAGGGACATTAAAATTAGAAGGGTGGTGGGACAGTGCAAGTAAGGAAGAGCCTGGATGAAACAGAGAGAGTCAGTGATCAGGTAATGGGGGTAGATGTGTCAGAGACAATGAGGCTGGCTCAGGATGAAGCAGGGTTCAGAGCCTTTGTACATAGGGTCACTATGAGTCGGGAGTGACTTGAGGGCACAGAACAGTAAATAACGTGTGTGTGTGTGTGTGTGTGTGTGTGTGTGTAGATAGACAGACAGACAGAAAGAGTTGTCCCAGACTGAAGAGCTTAAGATGTGGCAACTAAAAGTAGTCTGTGACCTTAGATTGAATCCTATTCCAGAAAAAAGGGGACTAGTGGAATAATTGATGACATTAGAAGGATCTAGGCACCCAGGCTGAGTTTGAGCCTTAGCAGATGACAACTTTCAATCTCTGTGCCACCAGGGCTCCTTCCTTCTAGGTCTTTCTTATTGCCATCAAGTTAGGTCTGACTCATAGTTGAACCTCCCGTGGGTCTCTAAGGCTGTAAATCATGGAGACTTCTCATCTTCCTCTTTTGGAGCAGCTGGTGGATTTGAACTGCCAAAGGAGCATGGCTTTTGAGTTTGAAGCACAACTTTCTACAGACTGCATCACCAGAACACTCTCCTTCTAGGTCAATGGTTCTCAAATTTGGTTCACATTGAAATCTCCTGGACATCTTTAATAAATCCTGATACCTAATTCCAATAACCGGAGAGTCTGATTAATTGCTCTGAGATATGTCCTTGGACTTTGAGCATTTTTTAAAAGTCCCAATGAATTTAATGTGTAGACAAATTTGAGGACCATTGTGCTACTTAAATAGTTATTGAAAGAAATAAAAAAAGAAAGAATGTGGGTTATCTAAGGATAGGTGTTCAGGAGACCTAAATGCCTGGAGAGAGACTGCTGAGAAATTTAGGAAAGCATCAACATTTTGATGGTAACTGAAGCCGTGGTAGTAGACATTCTCTGTTAGGAGAGTATGTCAAGTGATGAGAAGAAAGACACAAAGCAGCTGTGAGATAACAAGGAAAGTATGCTTTTAGAAGTCCCCAAAATGACACTGTTAAGTTCTCGACTAGTAGCCAATAAGGAGAAAAGATTGAGACTATCATCAACATCTTCGTCTTATTTGGATTAACAATCAATACACTTGGTACTAGCAGTCAGCAAATCAGGAGAAGTACTGCACTGGGAAAGTCTGTAGTCAAGGACCTTTCCAAATTATTTAGGAGTATTAATGATGTCATTTTGAGAACTAAGGTGCACCTGATTCGGGCCATGGTCTTTGCAGTCACTTGCTGTGCACTTCAGAGCTGAGCAGTGATTAAAAATACTGGAATAAGAATGATGCTTTCAAACTGTGGTGTTGGAGAAGAGCTCTGACTATTTCATGGACTGACAAAAGAACAGATTTGAAAGATTCAAACAAACCTGAAGAAGGTGCAGCCAGAGTGCTCCTTGGAGGCAAAGATAATGAAGCTTTGTCTCATGTTTGGCATGTTCCCAAAAGAGGTTATTCCTTGGAGAGAAATACCATGCTTGGAAAGGTGGAGTGACAGCGAAGGATAGGAAGACCCTCAACCAGATAGACTGACACAGTGACTGCAGCAACGAGCTTGAGTGTATCAGTGATTGTGAGGGTAGCACAGGATGGGACAGTGCTCAGATGTGTTGTTCATAGGGTCGCTATGAGTCATCCTCACCTGATGGCACCTAACAACAACAACAGCCAAAAGATTTGTAGTTTATCCAAAGATGCCTCAAAATCCGCTTCTGAAAAGCTACATCCGTGAAAACCCTACAAAGTTCCATTCTGCCTGAATCAGCTGAACAGTAACCAGTTGGGGTTACAGAAATAGTTGGAGGTGGAAAGGAAGGAAAGTGAGGGGATTTAGTTTATTTAATTCAGTCTTGCAGTCCAGCTCCATGTCCACCTCTTCATTAAACCACACACTCCTTGTGGATCTCCTGATGCTTCCACTCTAGTTCCACTTTTCATACTCCCATCTTTTCATACGCACTTAGATATATCTGGCAGAGAACTAAACACAGGGCTCAGCAGTCCTTGTTCACGGAAGGATTATTATGGAAACAACTCTCTGCATTACCAATAAGCTCGGAGTTCTTTGGAGAAAAGTTGTTTGCCAGTTATGTTGCACAGTTGTCTCTGTGTTGCGATAGAAGAACGTTTTTCCGGAGGCCAGGCTCGCTCTTAGTTCACGGAGTTCCATGTGGCACTAGCCGCCAATCTTTGTTTGGCTAGCTCTTGTCCTACAGCTTGGTTTTATGGTTTTATTTTCCAGCCCTTCGGGTCTTTGTCCTGTAAATTCGTAGAAAAACTGCTGGCCAATTGTCAACAACTAGACCTTTGAAAAACAGTACCATCACCCCTGGCCCACTCTTGCTCCACTCGTAGGCGGTTAATGGGAAAAGGGAATAGCTTCCAATTGCTCATCTTGTTCTTAAACTGGAGGCCTCTGGGGCTGAAAGAAACTGGACAAAGTGTGCTGAGTAGCTTAATAGAGCTGGTTCTTCTTCTGAGCGTTCCCTATTGCAGAAAAAGAAAATTATGAGTTTAATTTCTGAAACCCAATGCCTGATTTGCCTTGGCAGCCTTTCTCCTTGGCTTGGCCAAGAGTCCAGCAACACTAGTACAGTCACTGATTAATACCAGCTCAACTTGCTCCTTGGAAAAGGAGAGAATTATTTACTTTATGATTTTTTTTAAAATACTTTTTAATGTGCATTACTTGACCAGTAATCTTACTGGCTTTAACATGGTGTGTTAACATGGTGTGTTAACATGGAGTCACTGACTCCAGCAAAGGTGTCTCTGTTCAGAACACTCTTATCTCCATCACAGATCAAGACTTCTTTCTATGTAGGGTTTAGCACTGACAGGACACATGTTCTGTTCTTTCTGGGACAGTTAAGTTCTAAGGGGACTTTTGTCTGCTCTTGGTCCCCAGGCCAAGGGGAGAAAGGAAAGGAAATGATGCTTTCCAGAATTTCATTTTCTGCACTATTCCTTCCTCCCGGCTGGCTAATTGAGCCCACTTTGAATCATGACCCTTTGGTCCATTCTTCCCTTCCCCTGGCAAAGCCCACAGAGATATCAAATAGCAGTTCTCCAAGCAGACAAAGAGGACTGTGGAAAGGTTGGGCCCCTCTGACTGTCCCTGATAGGGAAGTGTAAACACAGCTGTGGATCTGGGCGTAGAGAACAACCCATTCCGCCCCCCTCCCCCAGTTCCCACCCAGAAGCAGGGAAAGGCCACCCTGCTGTGAGGAAACAAACAACAAAATAAAGCAAAGAACAACCTTAAAGCCTGTGTGGAGGTCACCAGGAACTGGGGCTGCTGCCCAAGCTTTAGTGGGGCCAGATGAAGTGCCAGAACGCTCACTGGACACAGCAATGAAGACAGCTCCAAAGGACTGGACTTCGCCGAGCCTGGAAACACAGCTCGATTTTAAAGCCTCTGCACTCTTGGACACTCTGTTCTCTGATCTCAGAACACATAGCTTTCCACCCTAGGTGTTTAGCTCCTGACCCTCAGTTGCTTGGGGATCATAATAAGACATTCAGCAAGTATGAAAAAACCAAAAATGTATGAGCAAGTATGAACAAGTTTACAATATAAATGATTGTTCATTGCTGATAGAAGTTTGAACTCTGAGCCTCCAAACCAAGATCTCAGAAAAAGGCCTCTTTCGGTTTTTGTTAATTACAAAATAAATAACTCCAGCAGGAAAGGGTTTCTCATTTGGAGATTTACTTGGGTGGGATTCAGACCTTGATTTGTACATACTCTCGAAGTTCCAGTCCCACGGCTAGGGTGGTGCTGCAGTTGGCTCTCTGCGCTCTTGATCCTGTTGGACACGCCTTTGGCACAGCCCTGCCTAGGAAGCAACCCTGACTGAGTGGACAGTTAATGATCTGTGCTTCCTTTCTGGCCATCAGGAACCCCAACCATAAAAT